ATTTTGCATAAATTCTGCTTGATATGAATATAAAAATAAGTCTGCTAATAACGGAGCGCAATTTGTACCCATGGGAATTCCAATAGATTGTTGGAATACATGGTCTCCAAAAACCACATAGATATTGTCAATCAGAAACTCAAGAATCTTCTTGATGTCAGCTTCAGAGTACTTATGTGTGCAATCAGAATCTGTTTTAACAAAATAATTTTGCAAATGACCAGTGACGAGGTAAGTAAATTTACGAGTTCCATTTTTATTGAAGAAGCAGCTGTCAATGATATCAAAAGGCCTGGGTTTTAATTTGTCGTGGGGAATTGTTGTGTATAAAGTTGAAAAGTCATAAATTTTTAAACTGTTGATTTTTGTAAAGCCTTGTGATTTCAAATCGTCTAAAAGTTCTTTAGAATTTTTTAAGTATCCACATCTGATTCACACCACTTCTTGAATATACATGTAGTTGCACAGTACTCTTGAAGTTTTTCCTTCACCACTGTCAGTATCTTAGTGAGGAGTAACGAAAGAGGCTTGGTTGAACATTTACTGGAACCTGCAATGTATCTTTGTTTGTGAGGATTCTTATGAAGTTTCGGAATCCATGGTAAGGAAATATATAAAGCGGCATTTATTTTATATACAAAAATACTTGTACTTTTAGCTTTTATATGCATATATTCGAACAGGATAATTTGCTAACTACATGTACTTTTATTGGGAAAGTTGGACATTGCAAAACAATTTCAACTGTTTTATAAACATATCTGGTACAATAACTCTACACCATCCCGTTTGTGTCGAATTTTATGCCATATTTTATTACTTTCAAGTAAAATATTTTGTGTGTTATGTGTTGCTATATACAACAATCTTTTGATTGAATGAATGTTCAACATGTTGTGATGAATATTCAGTGCTGTTTTGGAATATGTTCGGTAATATTTTGAGCAATGGCTATCTTCAATATATTTATGCATGTTCAAAATCTTGTTAGTTCTATATCTTGTGATGTATATTCAAAATCTAAATTGATACATAATTAATAAACTTGATGTGATGCATTCAATAAAAATATGATGTATATTTTAAAATCTTTTAATATATTTTTTCGATGATTATGTGATTCATGTTAAAATTCATATTACACGTCAATTTTCTCGTGATGAAATATCCAAATCTTTTTTCATGTTCGAGGTATGTTCGAAAATTTCGTGGAATACTGTCATACCTGTTTAACCAAAACATCATACTATGTCCAACTGTGATAGAAATGTTTCAACTAAAAATTCAAATGGCATAAAAAAAATATTTTAATATCTTGCTTTATTTCAAACTTATTTACAGTTTAAAACTGCGAAAAGCGGATTGCAGTGCAGGTCAATGTTTTTCATAATTTACTATCAATACAGTGAATAGTGTTTGTAAACATATCCTCTGATAAATGATACAAAAAAGAAAAATTCTATATTTTCAAATACAGGAATGTGTCATTGTTTCACATTCGAAAATATGACGTAATAATTAGCTTTGTTAAAAAGAAATTAATTTAAATATAGATATTAGACAGTTCTCATAAAATGTAAAAAAGATGATGTCATAGAATGTCAAGGAGTTGTTAACGATGCCATTTTGTGTTATACTCTGGAAAACTTTTAAAAAAGAAATAGCTCTGAAAATGCTCGAGAAAGGGGACAACATGTCAAAAACGAACCATTATGTTTGTGTAAATGGACAATGAGGTACTTGAATGATAGACTCTATGTCAGATGAGGACGATCTGTGAGGAATCTGTTAAGATCTTTTTCAAAAACTTTTAAAATTTATTATGGTCATGATGAGAGTTTTGTGCTTCTCAGTTGTTATCTTGTGAAAGCACAGTTGTGTCCTGAAGGAAGTATTACACATACAAAAAAGTATATTATTAAACGATAGTTAGCAGAATACATTTCAAGTGACAAAGAAATTGTTTTAATAAGTGCACTGGTATATTATTGTGCAATACTCTATGAATTGAACAGAGAGTATTTTGAGAACGTCGTGACGCTGCTTTTCACATTACGATGTTGTCGAGTTGCTCCGTGCTAATTAACTAAACAAGTTGATTAAAAAAAATAATATCATTTTTTATATATCATATGAAATGAAATTTTACACATCAACAAAATAAATATTTTAACTGAATACGAAGTACTGCGCTCATTTGGAATTTTTGAAGACAGAATTAAGAAGATTGCCATGGTCCATGAGTTTTCTGAACTACCTTCGTACATTTATTATACTTGTATCCTATACTTGTAATTATATCTTTTTTTAAATTCAAGATTTTTAATAAATCTATATAATTAATAATTTACATCGTTTTTGAAATCTGCTAAAATGATGTTCAAAATTCACTTATTCTTCACCATGGACTTCTGAACATTTACAACTATAGTAAAGCGGGAACGATGGGACAAATTTTCATTTAGCACTATCTTGCCCGAGATTCATTTTCATCATACTTTGTATAATACATTGCATGAGAAGACACAGGCTGAACTCTCTGAACAAACCTTTACTTGAAATGTTGAATAACCTTCAATTTCTAACGTCAAGACTTACTAGTGACGTAGCCAATTAAGTCAAGGAAACCGTTTGCTGCTTTAAATTTCAAGACTGTATCCTTCATGCTTAAATGCTCATTCAAATAATCAGAATCTAGAGCAGAGCAAGACATCTGAGTTGGGATCAGGTGCCATAGAGGTGTAAGTATCCCCAGCTGATCGGTCCCACTCACTATTTGTTCCTTGTTATGATAAGAATAAAAGGAGAATAACGTACAATTTAGACAATAATTTCAAATAATTCGTTGTATTATAACATTATCTTAATTTCCTTTTTGTAACAATCCTCCCTGTTTTATTTTAGATGAAAAAAAAAATACAAAAACTGGAAATCTGAGAAAAGACATTTGTTTAATCCTTCTAATTATTCTCCAAGGGAATATTTCTAAAAGTACATGTCCTTTATTAACTCACAAAAGTGACGTTGTTTAATACTGACCGACAAGTCTTCTAGTTTTGTTTCGCTATACTTTTTTTCTTATCATTAATGGATAAGTACCGAACAACTTGAAAGTAAATTGTCATTATTGGGAACAATACGACATCCTGCGATAATTAGGAATGTAAATAGTAAAGTAACAATTAGCATGAAAAAAATATCAGCCAGCATTTGGCTAAATAAAAGTTTTATTTCCTTACAAGATCGTTGTAACGACAATTGAACTTGCGAACTTGCGAAATGAAGACATACTGCATATTATTTTTTCATCACCAATCATTGCTCGTAGAAATAGCATGCTCTTGCGTTTCGAATTGACCGGAAAAGGTAAACCCTTTATGTAGGTATATAAGGTATATACATAAAAATCCTAGAAAAGAAAACAAAGCTAAAGACATTACGTTCATAAATCTATATGCTTTGTTGTTTGGTTCCCATAGCATTGGCATCTCTTTCTAAAAAAAAATCCAAGTAAGAGACACAAGCTGCAAACTTGTGATTTATTTTATTTTAAAATTTCAAAATTACCTTGATACATAGAGTCGACATATGAATGGAAGTATCCGTTATATAATAGTGTTGTGTTTTGCATTCATAAGCCTAAATAGTAGTTAAGTTTTGACAAATGGTGCACGAGCCGAATAATATTATATTACAGTTATAATAAAAGCGGCGTCTGTGGCGTAATTGGTAGGGCGTCGGACTGACAATCTTGGGGTCGTGAGTTCGATCCCCGGCTTAGGCGTTGTCGGATTTTCTTCAGAAATAGAAGCTGTACACTATTTCGGCATAGTATGCTTACGCTATATAAATCCTTATAACACTATGCGATAATAATAGGGTATGGGTTATATGGAGACAAACTGACAGGAAGCAATATAATTATTGATATTACGCCTTCAATATATCTGTGTGTCAAACTAAAGGCCCGGAAACTGCCCCATCTCTCTCTCTCTCTCTCTCTCTTTCTCTGTTTAAGGAAAATGTGCGACACGGGAGACGTAAACGCTGCTTGAAATGACGTGTTCATAAATTCAAATATTTTGTTACATGTGCGCCATCCACTAGGCCCATTTAAAACCGTGTACCCATAACATGCAAAAGAGAATATTTATGAGCTGCATTTTAAGAATTACAAATACGGTGCAAGGACAATGCAAATAAAATCTAATTTAAATCCAGAATAATCAAGAACATGGTATTGTACATTTTTTAGAAAAAATATTGAGAACTAACCAAACATCCAGCACATTCATATAATTGTATAAAATTTCATAAATATATATGATATCGGGTTCCTAGAAATCAATGCTTCTCTACGGAATTTCGGGACAACCCTCGTATTTCATTGTAATGTGAATCAGAATTGAAAATTCACTATTGAACATTCGTTTTTCAGTGAATTCATGTGTAATAATTACATTTACTAGTATGAATGAACATTTTCCTGAAAGTAATTTGATGACTCTCCAATAACCAACAAACACCAGTAAAGCTCTTCTAAAATGACTGGCCGTTCACGGTAGCTCAGTCGGTAGAGTGCTCGCTCTGTGATCGGGAGGTCGTGAGTTGAATTTCGGCCGCAACTGACCTAAGTCGATAAAAAATGGGTAAAACTGTTTCTTCGCCATTCGCTCGCCACTTTGAAGTGAAAGTTGCGGGTCCTTCGGATGAGACCTTAAAAACCGAGGCCCCGTGTCAGTGGCAGGCGTTGGTACAATAAAGATCCCTCACTGCTCAATGGCCCATAGTGCCGAGTAAAGGTCAAAATTTGAAGCCCTTCACCAGCATACGATGACATCTCCATATAAGTGAAAAATTCGTGAGAGGAACGTTAAACAATATACACCAATCAATGAATCTAAAATGACTGAGGAAAGATCGGAATTTTGACAGGGACATAAAATAACCCCAATGACTAAAATAGAATTTTTCACTAATTGCAAGCCGTTGTTTCCTGCTCCTACAAAAGCAGATCTTTTAATCTTTTAATGATACATATCTGCAAGCATACAGCACATGCATTTGTCATAAAAGACAATATATAATTTACGTTTTTTTTAACCCCGTATGTGTTGATAGTGATATATTCAAAATTGAATCACGTGTGCCAAAACCTTAATGCTACAGAATGAGACTCCAAACCTGACTTAATGCATCCAATGACTTTATCACATCCTGTCTCACAGGTACATTCTTCTTTGCAAAGTGAACCATAAGTCCCATTAGGGCACTCTAAAGAACAGTTTTTGCCATACGATCCTGGTGGACATACTAAAAGAATTGTTGTATTTAAAATATAATCATCAAATTGCAAAACAATACAAAATTGTGTTTTATCTTTCTTCTGTTTTTAAATACGATGATGAAATCTTTACATTAAATCATTTTTGCCACCATTCTCCCATATTGTCGCAACTGTTGGGCCGTGGGTTCATTTGAATTTTGTTTAATGTACAGATTAAAAATGCTCGTTCTATAAAATTTATACCTTAAATACATTTAAAACTATATTGTCCTTAGATATTTCTATATTTTGATTTTATGTACAAAAACCCTGATGACGTATAATTAACACAAAAGATGGAGTTAAACCGAATATCAGTTAACCTGAAATGCTATTCAGAGACACCAACGTAAAGTAGGTGGGTTTTTTATTCAGGAATTCGTGTCAGCTTTCCCTCTAATAAGACTATTCAAATAATCGGTAAATACGAGGGTCAATCAAAAAATACTTAAACACGCTTTCTCATGGTCATATATGTAATATATATATTACAAATATATAGATAAGCACATTTCCGTAAATAAAAACATTTATTTTGTCGAAGTGTGAAGTTTCATTCCGTTTGCTTAAATAGAACCCATGTTAGCCAATTTTTAAAGCAACAAGTTTTGTTACCACGGAGCACGGTTAATCATCATTGTAACGTCAAAAACAACGTCGAGAAAGTTTCTCAAAACTACTCTTCTTTTTTTTTATTTCATACACAGTTTGTAGCATCTTCTCCATTCATAAAAACGTATCCATAACACTTAATATTTCCTAGTTTGCTACACAACTGTGCAAATAGCTTGAACTAGATTGTCTATGTTAACTTTTCTAATTCTTTACCACGTAAATCTGTTAGTTCCACAACAGCGACATGCACATCACGTTTAATGACGTTCATAACTCTTTTAAATTTTTAAATTATAACCTGTTTCTTTGCAAGCCATCCATCGTCCGATTCAAACTCGCTATCACTCAAAAACTGTATTTTCCATTTCATACAGATACACAGCTAATGTTTCATACATTTACTGGTTTATACAGAAATTTATAAGTTTGTTGAAGAAATTTCTCGAATGCAAAGCAAAATTTTATTGCCTATCGCTGCTCCGTGACGTCCTCCAACATCATTATATTTTGCCCGTTTTAATCAAGTCTATATGTATTTAGAAACTGATATATTTTAAACGGAGCGATATATTACATTACCTTATGGCATCATAAGTAATACAGGAAGACTTAATTTAAACATGTAAATTTTATTTCATTTCAGCTCCATTTATTAGAGATATGGCTATAGATACTATAAAATGAAAATTAGAAAATTACTTAACTTTGACATTGCTCTGTCACCCTATATTTGCATTCATAATTTTCATAATTATGAAGATATATTCCAATTGTTTTAATCAAATTATTTGAATTTGTTGTTAAAATATGTGTACCAATTTTGGATATAATATGACCTTAAATCAAAAAGTTAGAACAAAATTTTACGAACTGTTTGAATGACCCTCGTATGTGCATCTTTTATGGTAAAAACTATAACAATAGCGTATTGTTTATTTTTCTTTCCTTTCTTCAACTTTAAGCTGTACAAAAGTAAAGAAAAAATTCGCGTTTATCTACAGAATAAAGACTTTTGCTTAAAGTTTCTTAGAATTAGTCTTATACGGTTAAATAAGAAATTAATATTAGGGGACTTTATTTTGACTATGATTTGCAAACAAAATGATGTTAAATAAGCATGTTTTATGTTTCATTACTGTTATGCAACATATGGAGATAACGAACAGTATTCAAAATCAAATATCCTTAAAACAGTACAAAATAGGAGTAGAGCCGACACGGACCTCCAAAACATCAGAGGTGGGATCAGATGCCATACAGGAGTGAGCATCTCCTGCCAACTGGTCTCACCTGTCGGCTGCCGTGTGCTCCTTTTATGATCGGGAAATAACAGGAAAATCTGTCGTCAATTCAGTGTATAAATAATGGCGTAACAATTAATATGAAAAACGTAAGTCAGCATTTAATGCAATGGTTATTGTATTTGCTGACAAGGTCATTATATTGATCATAGAACTTACGAAATGATGACTTTAAATGAGACTGCTGATATTCTTGTTTCATCAACTTGTTTGTCAATAATTAACCTTGTTTTAGAAATCGGTCATACGTAGAGCATGCTCTTGCGAATCGATTCAACTGAGGTATATAAATCCGGTATATAGGTGATAAAGGTGTATAGCTTCATAAGCAAGGGAAGTTGACGATGGAAAAGTTAAAAGTCATCACGTTCAACTGAGATATATAAACTCCGTTTATAGGTGATGAAGGTAAATAGCTACATAAGCACGGGAAGTTGACGGTTGAAAAAATAAAAGTCATCACGATTATCATAGAGCTAGGTTGTTAGATTACCATTAACGTCTTTTTCGAGTAAGCAGTATAACAAAAGAAATAATTAGGAAAAATTATTTCTTCTTTTTTCATTTTTTATCATAAATGATTTCGAATAATTTGAAAAAATAAAAAAAAAAAGAAGAATTAAAAATTTGAGAAAATTGAAGTCATGGTAATAAAATGTTACTTTGCTCTAATAAAAATAATTAGAGAGGTTTTGCAAACCAAGGAGTTCAGGTACATGTACACTGTACTTGTGCGTGTAACAAGAAAAATATGTGTATTACACTATCATTTTGCTAATGATGAAATTCTACACGTATCCACATACATGTAGATCGCCGAGTACCTGTAATGCAAATCCGAAGCTTACATTTTCTTCATTGTTTTTTTATTTATCGCGATCAAAGTGTGAGTTTTTCTTATACCAAGGATTGAATGCAAGTTCTGATATATAAAGAACGTTATGCTTTATAGTAAATTCTTATGCTTTTCAAGCGATGAAAACACTTATGTTGACCTCTCAGCATATGTTTTAACACATCAAAGTTTTTAAACTTATTTTTAATTTATTTAAAAGATCTACATGTACATGTAAGCATATATTCACTTTCAATAATGACGTTTATTACATGTACGAATTGAAGTGGATACACCTTCCCAAAATATGAAAGAAGAAGGTACAGTTTTGGCTTTTTATTGTGCCCTGAAAATGATATGTTTTACAATATTTTAAAATTGGCTTTAAGTAGGTATGTATGAAAAATTATTTAAGAATATGGCATGAAATACGACCATTTTGGATATATGAAGTCATTTATTGGTATATTTCTAGGTAAAATACAGAAAAGCCTAGAATAACTTATTTCTGTGCTTATTATTCTTTAGGAAATAGTGTCTGCAACCATCGCCCACTTAAATTTTAGAATATATTTTGTAAACTGTTTTGAAAAATCATATACCTCAAAATTCCCATGATTCCAAAAGAATGAATTTTAATTTCTTATAACACTTTCATAATGTAGAAAAATGCAGCACTAAATTTGTATTGAAACTGTACAAAAATGAACCTTAATTTGCATTTATAGCATTTACAAGCACACGAACAAGTAATAAACTAAACAAGAAAATTGTTAACCAAGCATTTACAAGTACACGAACAAGTAATAAACTAAACAAGAAAATTGAAATCCACGTATTCGTGTTATTTTACAACTTGAACTGTACACGTACATATACAACTAAACGCTGATCTACAAAACCTCCCTAATGTGTATGGATTTTGTTACTTTTCAATTGATGATACTTATAATTTCAATATTAACTAAATTAGAATGATTGATATTCCTCTGAAAGGCTTTTTACCTTTACATCCTACTACTGAGTCACATGTCGCGTTGATGGATTTACAATTGCATTTTGACAAACACATACTTCCATAAATACTGAATAGCAGTTTAAAGAACATTTCTCACCAAATGTTGAAGAATAAGAATTAAACAGATGTACACTCATATAAATCACTGGTTTATATCAATTACTTTGTGCATGTAAATTTATTTTAAGAGACCAAAATATTGGAATACTTACCTTCACATGCATCATTAACTAGATGGTAGCCTGGGCAACAGGACTTTAGATTTCTAAAAATAAAAAAAACTGTAAGCAAATTTTATCAATATCGCCCTTTCTCGTAATTTATTTCAGATAGAAGCTCTTTTTCACTGAAACTTATTTGAATGAATACATGATAGATTCAGAATAGGACAAAGATAAAGAGTCGTGTTGGATTGCTAAAGTACCAACGATAAAAATCTGTAAACAGGGCTCAAAACACGGACCCCTGAAGAAGGTTAAATGCCTAGGGGAATAGATATCCCCTTTTGACCAATCACAAAGACTTGGAAGACAATAAACTCTACTATATATTGATCAGGAGGGTTGAATATTCTGCATAAAATTTAATTTTGAAAGGGGCCTAGCATTAGGTTTGAAACACATAAGCTAATATATGACTTTTTTTAACCGAAAAAATCTTCATAATGATGATAAATTCACAAACTGTTCAAGGTAATTCAGAGAAATACTCACCCTTCGAAACAAACTCCTAGGTCGTATGTCGAAGATAAGTGTACCGATGATAAGAATATTATAAAAATCTCCAACTTATTGTATATCTTCATAGCCCCAAAATCAACCAGATCATGTTTCACTCTGTTGAATAAGGAAGTTATCTAGTTCATTAAAATCAAAATGCGCTTTTTTTGAAAATCAATTTTCGATAAATAGGAGTAATTCATACTACATGTATATATGCATAAGTGTTTGCACCACTATCGGCATTGGGTATTCCAGCAAATGCCAGCAATTAAAAATTCCAGCAATTAAAATGATCCCAGGCATGTTTCTCACATAAAGCAGCTTTTGAATCAAAGTGTTCTCAGGGTTAATTTGGATGCCACATACATGGCTCACATCGGGAAATAAATACACAAGTATTAACATATCTATAACCGGAACAATTCCAAACTATATCCTTATACGGAGAGTACATATCGTAAAGTACTGTTTTAGCAAAGACCACCATGAACATGAACATTGTAATGGATTAATTAAATCTCTGCTTTTCTTAGACAGAAAAAATCATTGTCCCTTTATCGAACACGAAAAGAAAAAATCTAAATGTACAAAAAATGATTAAAATTAATGTTAAGACAAAAACTTAAATTATGAAATAAATTTTCTTCCCTGTCAATAGTTTTGGTCTCGGAGTTTGTGCAATTAATGTGTGATATGCTGTTTATCATTAATTTATTTTACATTTTTTACAAAAACTTAATTTTCAGCTTTTAATTTTTAGTTTTAAAATCAATCTTTTACGACTGGGTGCGGTTTGTCATATGCATTTTAAACATGTAAGCATCGCAAAAAAGCATTTGATATTCCAGAACATCCTTATGATTAAAGTTGACACCAGGGATTTTTTTTTTCCAGATGTCAGTTATTGGAACCAAAGCGATCTCTAGTGATATACATGGTTCATTTAAGGAAAAAGATACAAAATCGTTAACAAATCTATAACTTGAAAGTTTCCAAATTTAATATATATTTTCATACGGAAATATATTTCAAGTACTATAATTTTAGTTCTATTTGCCTAAAAAGAAGTATTTTGTTCACTAGAGATATACATGTTTATATACGTTTCTTTATAGAACTGAATAACACTCCTAAATGGCACCAGATCCCACCACTGATGTTTCGGAGGTTCGTGTTTACTCTGCTCCGATTTTGTATTGTTTTATGGACATTGAGATTGAATATTGTTCGTTATGTCCATATCCTTCTTTATAGAAAAAGAAAACTTTGCATGAGGTGGCAAACACAAACATCGCCGTTTTAATATTGAATTAAATCCATACTTGTAAAATCAAGAAATATAATCAGAACAAACTTGCATTTCATACCGTTTTTTTTAAATTCGTTGTTTGAATATCAATCACATAGTTCAAAGTCATTGTTGATGTATCAGGAAGATAAAATAAGCATTAATTCTTACGTTTTGTACAAATATTCACATTAGCCAAACGTCTGGCATCGTCGGAAACCCACGGGTGATCTCGTCTTTACTTATCACCCGTGGGCAAACTCGCCGAAAAATCGTCGTATGTAATTAAATATGCATGGGTCATTTGATTGGCCGCATTACAGAGTCGCGATGCGTAACAACGAATCGCAGTTCACGTTACGTACGCAAGTTCGGCATTGCCAAAAACATGAAAAACTCATTCCGTAGTTAACACAGCTGATGAATTCACTCACCGGTGCATTTTGCAGTTAAAAAGAGGTACTTCTTCATAATATCTGACGGATATTAATGTCAGTGACCTGTACGAATTGATTTACATTGTTTTAAATCAAACTTCGCACGTTTTAACGAGCGTCAAAATATTTACCATAAATAGCAAAGTAATAAACGTATTTTTCAAAATTGAAGAGTTCCAACTTTCTGATTGGTTGACTAAAAACAACAAATTAGCATATTTTACGGCGATATTTCGGCTAGTTTGCCCACGGGTGATAAGTAAAGACGAGATCACCCGTGGGTTTCTGACGATGAACGTCTGGATAAAATTCTTCATCCTCTTTTGAGGCAATTTATTTCATTTTTATTACTCTTTATAAATTGTTTGAAAATCAATAACACTTTGATTACTCTGCTTAATTTCCTTACTTATGCAACACAATATATTCATCACCTGCATGCAGAGTGCATGAAATACATGTAGATAACGAACAGTATTATATTCAAGCTCAAAAGACCAAAAAAAAAACAATGCAGTATATGAGTAAGGCAAACATGGACCCCCTAATCATCAGAGATTGGATCAGGTGACATGGAGGAGTGAGGATCCACTGCCGACCGGTCACACCCGCCGTGTGCTCCTCGTCATGATCGGAAAATAACGGGCAAATCCACCAGTGTGTAAATTATGGACTTACTATTCCTATTAACAAAGTCAGTCAGCATTTGACTCAATGCTTATTGTATCTGCTGACATGGTCATTGTATCGACAACGAAATTTACAAAATGATGACTTTAAACTACCGAAACTGCTGATTATCTCATTTTAAAAAATGCATATACGTAGAGCGTATCAAATCAACTGAGAGATATAAACTCCTTATGCAGATGATGTAAGTATACTGCTGCATAAGGAAGGAAAATGAAGTAAAGTAATCACCTTTATTATAGAGCTTGGTTGATAGATTACCATTAACGTTTTTTCAAAAGGATATGGAGATATTCAAGTAAAAAAAAATCCAAATATGAAATAGATGTGTCAACTCTGTGGTGTCTTTTATCTCAAGCTCACCAGGATATATCGTATATCGTGACGGGCGATACTCAGTTAGTTTCCACACACAGTTCCAGTTATGAGACAATATCTTTTAAAAAACGATTCATTGCTTATTTTATATTTTACATTTTTGCCTCTCTGCCCTAAAAGTAAATGTGATTTTTTTCCATTTTAAAACCCATATATTTACATTTGCCAATGTCTTTCCTTATATGATACATGTAATACGAAAAAAATGAAACTCAAATTTCAATGACATGCAGTCGGTAACATGATCAGACTGCACGAGACATTTGGAAAGTCTTGACTTTGACGTCATATTATACGTAATGTTGCATTCAATAACAAAGTCTAAGTAAAGCATTTTGTCTTTGTTATGTGAACAGAAAAAAATATATAAATATAAGAAATAAAATATCATTTTTAGAGTGTCAATGGAATACATGTATCACATGAAGTTGGTACGCGATCAAATCTACTATAACGCCCTTTGGGCGTTATAGAATTTGATCACGTGACCGACTTCATGTCATATCCAAATGACACTTTAAAAATGATATCTTATTTCTTAAATATCATCCTCCTTGTAAGCTACAGTCCATGGAAGAGCCAACGTAACTGTCATCTGGTTATATTGTATACAATTTGCACATTGTGACGTCACAATAAATCATTTTGAACTGAAAGTTGCAGGTCCTTCGGCTGTCACCTTAAAAACCAAGGGTCCTTGTCTTGGCAGGCGTTAACACGATAAAGATCCCTCGCTGCTCAATTGCCCTGAGCGCCGAGTAAAGGTCAAAATTTGAAGCTGACAATGGTTTAATAATAATTGTAAAATTTTTCACAATTGCTCTTAAATTAATATTTGTGTAATTATTTTTGTCTCAAGCAGTGCCATGGATTTGATAATTTAATTTAAATGATCATTTAGGGTTTCAATAACCCTCACTTCTATCATAAATCTTCTCAGCTTAAAACATTAATCACTTTTATTCTTAAAAGCAACATTTTTTATTTTCAGGACTCAACATTAAAGATGACAGTATTTATCTGTATTTATCTAAGACGGCAATAAAAAACTTTAAATACTAGAATGATCGCTATGAAAATTTTGATTTATTACAGTTACCAATCTTATATACCTTGGATCGTTGTATACGAATTGATAACTAATATAAAATATTTTGATACACTAATAGCTATTAATAAATAAGATGTTATATACTAATATGTAAAGAAAACAATCAAGTAAAGTAGAAGAAAAGCAATATTTTTAAATGTGATTTATAAGTAGTATTCAGTGAAGAAGTTTAGGTTTCAAAAAGTATCACTAAAAATAATAAATTTTAATTTAGGTAAAAGTAGAAAATTTGTAAAAGTTTATAATAATCATGTTTTGAAATGAATTGAAAAATCAATCTGGTAGCTATGGTTTACATGTATAATGGTGCATCTGACACTTAGCTTTTCCATGATATAATGATAAATATTTTTATCATTATCCATAATAAAGGTGATATTTTATGTCTTTGGAATTGTATTGTTGAAAACCAGTTGTTTAAAATATTTGCAGACATTAAATATCTTTTGATACTTTCTAATCTAAACATTTTATCTCTAGAAATGATTTACATTTAACTGAATTCAAATCAAATTGTGTTTCCTGAAATTTATAACCTTTCTATATATAAAAAAAATCATAAGAATTAAGTACTTGAAATGAATAAGGTGCTATGCTAATTAATTTTTTTTATTAATGTCAAAAAACTGACCTGATTCACTTAAAATAGTGTCCGATGTCAACAAATGGTAACAATCTATGAGAAAAAATGTACAGGTTTAAATTTTTGCGGATACCCGAGCACAAGGGTTTTTAGTTCTATGCTCGAACCTTTTGACAACTAGTCAAGTAACCGATAACATCATCAGTACTCGTTTACAATTCTTACGTTTTCCTTACAAATTAAAATATATCACCTATGGGCTGTAATTTTGATCTTAATTAGGTAAACACGGTAATGTATTTCAACAGAAATAACTGATGCATGTATATACTTGTATATTTGTAGAGTCTTTAAATCAAATTTTCGGAGTCATTTACAATGAAATTCTGGCCAACAATCGAAGAGCTTTACTCTGACGTCATATTCCCTAAATTAGGGTATGCAAAATATCAGACACTTTTAGGTACTCTTTGGAATAGTCAAAAAACTAAAGCGCATATTGCATGGATCAAAAGTATATAAATACTCAGTTATCCTTAATTTTTAAAGTAATTATAATTAGTTATGAAACTCAACATAAAAAATGTTTTAATTTATTGTAAAAAAAATAAATATATTTTTAACTACTTTTCTTATTTTCTTTAAAGACATAAACTTGTGTGTACACTAGGATAACCCGCAAAATCACATAACTACCGGTACTACTTGTATTTCAAATCCCATACAAAAATTGACTGCAAATAGTCATTTAAATTTTCGTCAACTGAATGCTCGAAAACAAATGACCACTAAAAGTTGATGCCTTCCTGAAAAGCTGTCAAATTATTAAAAAAAAAAAAACGTTGACCATGAAATAGACTGCTATTCTTGTTTATCATTAGTTGAAAGTTAATACATGTACTTTTAAAAATTCATGTGAAAAAAGTTATCCATTGATGAACAATCCGACTCTGTAAAATCTTTAGGAGTTGACTATATATAGTTGACAACTCAATGTTAGAAAATCTCTGCTACTCTGTATTTAATGGTTTTAAAATGACGTTATTATAGATCAAGTTTTCCGGTAAGTATGTCGTCGCCCTCGCATGACACAGTGGTAAGAGCTTCTGCTCTAGAGTTGCGATGTAAATTGACTCTTATATCGCGCATTCGAATCTACTGTGGGTGTTGGAGACCGGTCCTTCGGATGAAACTTCCCGTGTCGCATTAAGTGATGGCATAATAAAGACCCTCACTGCTCAATGGCTCTGAATGTCGAGTATAGCAAAAAAAAAATTGTAGCTCTCCACCGGCAATTGCAAGATGTGGTGTCTCCATATTTGTGAAAGATTCTCGAGAAAGATGTTCAACAATGTACATGCATGACTTGTACAACTGTACAAACAAACAAAAAAGTAACGTCTATTGGTTTATGCTTTGTTAGAAAGTAGAGAACTTTGAATTGTAACAATTGTTTTTAAGAATGATGAAACATATGAAAAAATCGGATAACTTCCCTTTGAAAAGGAATTAAAACTAAATTTCATAAAATAATTTGTTTCAAAAAATGTGATGCTATTGTTCCCAAAATGTATGTCTTTTGTCCCCTTTTTTGACTTAGTTTTTTATAGATTTCATGAGACTTGTTGTCTTCGTTATCATTTTTTTTTTTACATTTTTTTAATCTGTATACTGTAAACGTGGAAATTTTGACGATGTGCTAATTTTGACTATATTGACGATTTTCTTTTTCTCGTCAAAATTTACACTCGTCAAACTTCACATCATATATATAGCGTCACAACAGACATTGGCCGTTGTACAACATTACCGCTTAATTTTTTTCGGCTTTCCCTTATTAAAACTAGATCAAAGTTACCGTTAATTTCTTTTGTAATTAGTTATGAAAACATACATGTAGGGATATATACCCGTAATCACATTTATTTTTTAAAAGATATAGTCTAAGCTAGTGTATTAAATACTGCATGCGTAACTTTAGCCTAATTATCACGCCGTGCTTGAGGGCATTTTATTTAATCAAATCTTACACAATTAGACAGTTTGTACAATCTTACACACTGTAGATGGTCTCTTCAAAACTTAAATGTTAGTGATTCCGACGCTGTCTTTGTATCCCCCGTGAATCTCTTGATTAAATATTTCGTCAAAATTAATACTCGTCAATTTTCGGAAACAAAAAATCGTCAATTTTTCAACTCGTCAATATAACCACGTTTACAGTATATTTTATTTTTATTTTTTTGCAAGATAAGGTGTACAAGTATCTTACAAAAATGGTTCCAAATGCATATGGTTGCTATGTTTATAAATTTATATATTATGAAGTATCTCTACCTATTGTTATTGATTTAAATGTATTTTTAAGATTTATAGCTTAAATATATTTCTACTCAAAATTAGTCGTCAAATATATTAGATTCATTTGATTCGCAATGTTCATTGTATGTACAATTTCTAAAACGAGCAAAGTTATTTACAAACAAGTTGATGAAATAAGAATATTAGTAGTCTCTTTTAAGATTCATTTCGTAAGTTCTATGGTCTATACAATGAAAATGAAAGCAAATGCAATTTCTCATTGAAGCAAATGCTGACTGACGTTTTTTATACGAATTGTTGGGCCGTTATATAGATTCACTAAACTGTTGATGGATTTTTCAGCTATTCCCCCAAACATGACAAATGCATGTAGCATACAGCGCGTGTGACTGGTAGGCAGGGGATGCTAACTCCTCAATGTCATCTCCTGACTCTGACATTTTGGAGGTCCATTTTTTCTCTGCTCGAATATCATTTTGTTTCATGGGTTTGAGTAGAAATACTATTCGTTACCTTCATATATTTCATTCAGCTTGTATGGTAAAAATAAGTATAAAATATTGAGATTTTCCTTTTTTCCTAAAGGAATTAGAAATACATTTTACTATAGCTAGTATAGATCCCTGCAATTGGGTACTAGCTTGTTGAAATGATAAAAAAAAATCTGACAACTTGTGGTAAATCAAGTTTTTGTTTTGTTTCTTGTTGAATTATAAAAAAAAACAAGCAATTGCTTTAGACTAAATCTACCTTTTCTGCATAGAAAAAGAAGGAAGCACGGCAAATTGTGCCAGTTTAATGTTTGTGTTTGTGTTGTTTTCAGTGTGTGTTGATGCATTTGCATGTATGCATAGATACAATGTATACTGTAATATAACATATTTTCGTGGTGTCATATTTTCGAGGTTTAAGGAAAACTATGGTTTAATTTTGATTTGATTTCGTGGCTGGGAAATGTTTATTAGCAATGCGTATAAAATTTCATATTTTGTAATGATCATAAATTCATAGTTTATTTCCATAACTCGAACACAACAAAAATCAAAACAACACGAAAAAACGTTCTTAGTGATTTCACGGTAAATCATTTAGTAGCCCCATTGCTTTGACTCTTCCTTCTCTAAAACACATTAAATCTTTTCTAAGAATACTACATGCTTTGACTCTTCCTTCTCTTAAACACATTAAATCTTTTCTAAGAACACTACATGCTAGTCTTAGTTTTTTTAAAACTCCCTCCATTTTTTAGGAAATGCAGTATTCAACTGCAAAGAAAATAGCGTATTCAACTTTTGGTCAACTACTAAGGAAATTGAGCTGTTTTAACTAACGGTCAACTGCGAAGAATATATAGCAGTATTTAACAATTGTTAACTTTGTGCAGATTGTTCCCTAATTTTGATGGCAAAATTTCAACTAATGGTCAATTTACAGTGTATTGATCCTCAACGCACCGTCAATTGAATATGTACTCCGATTGAATTCTAATAGTAGTGAGTTGAGATAAAAAGACAAAGATTAGATCATTAAGGTTGTACTACAGAGTAAAGTAGATCATTCTTTTCTTTTCATCTTAAAAATCTGATTGGACAGATCTTTGAGAAATAATTGTTTATCATTTTTAACGGCTGTCACTTTGATTTTGTCACCTGTAGGAACAGCCAAATCATACCCGTTGTATTTCGATTTTGATTCTTTCATATTCTCTAGGTTTTGTTGACTAAATCTGTCCTGTATGTTCTCTGCTTGATTATGAAAACTTTTTTCCGAATTAGCCAAATTTATTTGTATTTCTACGTAAGTGTCTCTATCACTATAAGGGTCACTTGTGAGGTTTTCAATGGAATTCCTTACGTCAGTTAAAGATGTTGAAAATAAGTTGGAAGGACTTAAATATAGCAAAGATGTTTCACTGTAAGATCTTGAAACCGGTGATTTTTTATAGAGTGAATATAGTCTTTCTGGTGAAAATCTTCTTGCATGATAACTATCCATACAATAGTCTGGCATTTGCATTGTGGATGGTGTAAACGTTTTATCTTTTGCAATTTCCATTCCACTGTTTCCAATTACGAGTGATTTGCCTCCTGTATTGAGGCTGGATTCACCTGAAGAAGAATATGGAGTACCAGTGTCGAACTTTTCCTTAGCCCTGTCTTGCATTTCCATTTTCTTCTGTTCATGAGTATTTCTAAATGACGAATCTAAAACAAAATTGGTAATGTAATAGTTATGCATAATCAAATGATAAATAACATATTATTAAAAAACCAAAGTCGCTGTCTTAAAGCACCGAAAATATTTACTAGTAAATTTAAACACTCACCGTTGGAATCTGGAATATTTTGACGGAAATGATGCTTCCTAAAAAATTGAAAATACCAAACTTTTGAGATAGTGTTTCACTCATTAACTAAACATTATTATTTTATCGTTGTTTAAGTTATAATAAGAAATATAGTGAATTACATTTCTGATGTAACGAACATACTTTTTTGCAATAGTGTAGCTTATTCCAACTACTGTGAGAACAGCAAGGAGAACGCCAAATGACAGGACGAAATGAGATGAAATACTTTTCTTATTAATCTCATAATCTATTTTAAAAAATTAAAAAATAAATGTAAACATTTTTCTTTGTTTGAATATTCAAAATGATATAGTCAATATGCACACTTTCCGAGAAAATATATTATATGTTAAATTATGTTCATCATCAAGTTTTTGAAAGTTTCAAACCCATATCTCAATGATATTTAATAGTTTTTTTTCATTATGTTTAAAAAAAGTTGTGTGTACGTTAATGTTACGAAATTCTTTTCGTCACTTTTGGGTATTTAGTCAATCACTCGCAGCGTATATAGTTGTTATCAGCATATTGATACATGTATGTACAGGATTGTTTGCTATTAAATAATCGGTAAAATATTGTACAAATACATAAATTATATGCTGTCAATCGTATAATATTGTTTTGAGTCGGGTTCACTGTATTTCGACCCGGTCTCGATCTCGATAGCAGGTTTGAAATCATTTATCACGTTTCGTCTTTGAACATCGTATTGTCATTGTTTAAATCAACTTAATAACATAATAGCTACTTGTACTTATAGTATTTTCGAAGATAAAATCCCATTTTATATGGTAAGCAATGATTTTCTATTAGAAAATTTCTCTGCGTGCACTTTCCCTGATTTGTTTATACCGGAAGTGGCGTAGGGTCATTTCGGGTCAGCGATTTGCTAATTGAGGTTACCAGTGGGTACAGTAAAGCTATATGAAGAAGCGAAAATTCGTCTGCTAGAGAGAAGGGGGGAAGAGTTGGGAGGATACAGAGTCCTCCGAGTTATTTTCTTCTTGATACGCTCCCATCATAGTCACGCATTCTTAGGGATGGCAAACCCAATGCAGACCAGATGGGAAATTATATTAGTCAAGTTATATTAATTTGAGACGCTGAGATATCCCTATGGGAGACCCCTTAGTAAAGTGGGAGACCCATCGACGGGAAAACTTATGGGAGAATTTATGGGAGTTAAGATTTATTATTAAAACTATATAGGACTTTTAGAGAATAGTTATTAATAAAGTATATAAAATTTAGGAAGGTATATTTTAGTACAAGTAGGTAATTTTTATAATTATTTTTGGAGAGTTAGATTTTGCCTATGGGATGTGGGAGTGACTTGACTTTATAAGGTGTCAGATATTGTATTGTGATTTTTATTATAACAATACTTACATTTAATTGTACATAGTGTAAATAAATTTACTTGTTGAACTTTTATCCTGACTTAATTATTTATAAAGTTGACGTACGAGAGTGGAAAGCATACACACTTGCCCCACTCTCTCCCGAGGTGGGAGGCGCAACATTTAACATACACGGTATGACACCCATGCAATAATACATATATCTGTCATGTTTGAAATTTCAAAAGTTTTCCGGGTGAGAGCACATGCAAACTTAAAAGCACAACAAATGCCTGGTAAATTCAAAATTTAGAACATGACATAGGTATAATTAAGTATTATACATACAAATACATCCTTTTTCTGCGTCACAGGTTTCATCCGAAGCACAGTTACACATATCCAAGCAAAGTCTTCCATAATGGTTTATTGGACATTTCTTCGAGCAATTGCTCTGATAGCTCCCCGGAAGACATTCTTACAAAGAAAGGAAATAATGTAGTGTTAAAATTTTTAAGAGGTAGTCCACTGAAAATCAGGCAATGGGTGGCACATCGCATGTCATGGATTTTTATTAATTTTTGCATATAGACTTATTAAAGCAAGTGTTTACACATGACAACATCAAAAAAATTTTTAGTGCTTCTCTAGTCCTATTTTTGGTAAGTGCTCAATTTTAAGTGCAAAAAGGTCAACATGGGGGTAAAAAAAATTACTACGTTTTTATTTTGTTTTATATGTACCAGATACGCAAAACCTGGATGTGTCTATCAATATTATTTATACCATAGACTCTTATCTTTAGTTTTAGTAATGAATAAGACTCCAATTTATATTTCTTTAGAAAAAAATATGTGGTCCAAAATTGAGTTTAGCAAGTAGTTTTTTGAATTCATTATCCAATTTTCATTTCGTTATAAAACCCAACACATTTCAATGACAGATTTTTTTCTCATGTTATTATGAATACAAAGTACAAACTTTTGAGTCACTCAATAAAATCAGTGGGCACCCGTATATTGAGAGAAATAAAAGGAGTCAAATTTACCTATGTTTTACAATTTTTCACAATTAAACCGATCCCGACCGGAATTATATAAAGAAGGAAATACTATAATTGTAATGTTAAATTTGGCTCATTTGTTGTAATATGGCCAAAAATTACTTGATTTATTTTTTTACATGTCTTATGGGTGGCAATTGTCCTTAGTTTTATAGCTTTACACTTCTTGCATTATTTTCAATCGGGATCGGTTTTATTTCAATCGGGATCGGTTTTTACCGTAAAACTAGAAATATTTTGCATTTAATGTATCAGAAAAAAAATATGCTGGTCTTTTATTTCTGTTCAGTTAGTCAACTTTTTTAAAATTATTTTATCCATGGATTCAAATGTTTATACAATGTATTTAAAGTAATAATGTCTTTTACGTACATGAAGATTACAATCATGTACAACATCTGTTCGATTTCTTGATACTCGGTATTAAAAAATCAAAGTATTTGTACATGCATTATGCAACAACTGAGAGTAAACAGCTTATCTTTATTAGATATCTTATTTCCAACTAAAGTTTTGTTTTAATTCTCTCGTGAATTAAAGAGTTCAATTCTATCATTGGTGAAAATATACTTGCACTACCTAAATGCAGAAAATATTTAACTGTGCACAGTCTCGGCTTTATCCAAATTTTTTAAACCTGTCATCTATAAAAGCCATTTCCCCTATATTTTCATCTTATAAAATTTAATTTTATATTAATAAGAAAATAAGTTATTTCATGTATAGTATTATTATTTAAGAGACTAGAAATCGCAAGCAAAAAGCCGGGACGGGGTGGGGGGCAAAGCGGCATATTAAAAAAAAAACCATTAATTAATGGGAAAAAATTTTAGAATTGACCAACAAGGTCACATTTTTTAACTTCATATTGAATGTGAGTATGTGATTATTTCAATCACCAAACTGAACCAAAAAAAAAAAAACAACAACAAACAAACAAACAAACAAAAACAATACAAGACAAAAAATACGCCCACAAAATCTTCCGTTTTAGTGGCAAATTGAAGTAGGGAGTTCAACAGTAATTTTCCTCAATAAATATTTTTTAAATCTTATTTTTCACTTTTTTAATAAAATATTTTTAATCGTACCGCGGATCGTTTACTTTGGTTTGACTGCATAGATACATTGTAAATATAATCAAGTGTTTTTGTGTGTGAGTGTGTGGGGGGGGGGGGGTGTGTGTGTACAATATCATGAAATAAACATCTCAACTCCGTTGACTTGAATTAAATGTTGCGTAAATCTAAAATATTCATCTTTCCTTGATAATCAGAAGAAAATAAAATCTCTTCACATCCCAATTTTATAAGAAATATTCAATATAAACAATTAATTATTTGTACGCATAGCCTAGTAAATCAGTTTAAAAAATTAGTTCTCGGACATGTACAAAATTACTTTTAGCTGAGACGTCGCCCGTGAAAAAAATACATTTTATATAAAAATATATGATTATTTAACATGTAGGATAATGCACTCTGAAAAGTAATTGAACAGAAAAAGAGAAATTATTTATTTTTAATAGTTTTATTTGCGCTTTTATGCAAAGAATTTACAAACTTCTTTGGAAAACTTGTAACTATTTAATTGTGACGCAATATTAGTCAGGTATATGACGTCACTGATACATCAATGGAAACGTGGATTCAACCTGAATAATACTGCCAATCTTAATCTAAATATTACGTTTGGAGGCGAAAATGAATTCTATTTTGAAAATAAAGTAGTAATTTTTTGTTAAATAATTTCATTTTGTGTATATATATTCTAAATATTTCACTAGGATTTCGATAGTAAGGTGTTTAGCAGATTTACCGATGCCACGGGAGATAACTCTTACATCGCAAAATTTCATAAAAACGTCTCTATATTTTGACAGAAAACTACTATCAAAAGTGTTTTGCCCACCAATTTTATTTTTGAAACTGAAAGACGAAATATTTCTAGATTTATTTCAGCATGAATTATAGTCCTGTTAAATAAGTATTGGAAATTACAGTTCGTTGTTTCTGACCTAAATTTAATGGTTTATATAGGGGAATTCAAGAACACGAAACAAAAGGATATTTTACTAAATAAGCAATTTTAAAACAAATCTTCGATTACATTATTCCATTTGGACAACATTGATATTGTTTTCAATAAAATTTCAAATATTCGTCACATTCGATGTGCCGCCTATTAATACAACCCTGCCTGGTTTTTCGGCGGACTGCCTCTTAAAAGTTTTTTATTCTATTTTACAAACAGCTTGCATTTATCCTTTTATATTAACTACATGTAAAAACTAAATGCATTGTCTGCATGGCATAGAGATGCGATTATTTGCTCTTGAGTCGCAGGTCGCCCGCGTGGCGCAGTGGTTAGAGCGCCTGCTTTAGAGTCGCAGAGTAAGGAGTTTGTCCTGACCTACGTCGTGGATTCGAACCCAACTTTTGGATGTGGACACCGGTTTTTCGGATGAGACCGTAAAAATGAGCCATTTGTCGCAGTAGGTAACAGCATTAAAAAGATCCCTCCTTGCTCATTGGCCCGAGTGCCGAGCATAGGACTAAATATGCAGCTCTAGCTAGTCTGCACCGGAAAGTGGTGGTGTCTCAATATGAGTCAAAAAATTCTTTAGAGGGACGTTAAAAAACAATCAATCAATCTAAAGTCGCAGAGTTCATACTTAGTCAAGAGTCTAAATCCAACTGCGAGATTGGAAATCCGTCTTTTAGATAAGACCGTATAAAACTATATTCCATGTTGCAGTAGATCATGGCATTCAAAATCATTCACTTCTCAATGGCTCTAAATGTCGAATACAGGTCTAGATTTGCTGTTTCACT